ATGCTGGAAACATGCCTGAAATGTCTTGCTTTATATTTTGGCGGCCAACAGTGGCTGTGATGCTATATACACCGACGATATACCTGCAACATATACACCTTTCACTGCAGCTTCAATGTCTATATCTGTAGAATATGTCACAGTCATGGCAAAAAATATAAATATATTATTTAAACTCAACACCTCCTGTATCTGTTTCAGATTAAAAGCTCTCTGGCGTTTCTGTGGACAGAATCCATTCATGTGTTAACAAGGTTTTTATTGTATGGTATTTATCAAAGGCAAATTCAGTATAGAAAGATAGGGCTGGCAGCAGCCACGCAGATGAACACCGTGTGCGTGCCAGATGCTGCTGTTCAGCGCCATAGCCGTCGCACACTGCTCAGGTCGGCAGTCTGAACCCAGTGTAAGATGTGTTGGCATTTAGTTCAAAGTACCACTGTGCCTAAGTAGCTACAGTACAACCTCATAGCTGCCGGACTGCTTTAAACTTCATAACTTCCAGTCAGTCGGTGGCATTTTCCCAACAGCAAGGGGTGAAACTATTTCATAAATTACACTATAGATGGTCCAACATCTTTTACTGCATTGTGAATTTGTGTAAAGTGAAACGTAGCAACACTACACATAGCACACATTTCCTTTTTTGTAAAGCAACTACTGTTTATTACAATAGCATAATCCCATTTTGGACGGGCTCAGAGAAAACTAGGAGGGCAGTTAGAGAGTGCAGTCCTCTGCCAAGGCCAATAATCAAGTCTTCTATGATATCTGCACAGCACTCATTTTAATTATAACGCGTTTGAGCAGGTCAGAAACTAATTCTGTATTAATCCCCAAAAATCACATCCCTGATTACATATTTCTTACTGCTGCATTTGTTTCTACAGGGATATTTTAAGTGACATCTTGCAATGTTAATGAAAGTGAAGAATAATTTGTGTATCCATCCTTGTGGACAGTTCAACCAAGTTTCATGACAATTGGGCCAAGAGCTTTTTGACAACCCTGCCAACAGACACACAAACAAACAGCACTTAAAAAAAAAAAAAAATAGGTGGGCCTACCTTAAAGACCCTTTTAGCAAAAACTAGGAAATGATTTACATACTGTACTTAAATCACTGGTGTTTAATTAGGAAACATTACAGGCCATAAATAAAATTAAAAAGAAAAAAAAACACACCTCATGGAGGCCACGTTGCAACATAGCCTGGCAATCCGTGATAACCAGACAACTGGCTGACACAGCTGCAGAAAGGCAACAAAACACCAGCAGTAAAACAAATCAGCAAGCTTACTGGGCACAATAGCCTGGCACAGCAGCCAAATAACCAGACAGTCACACACCTGCAGAAGCAAGATCCACTCCTCTTAAACTCACTGAAACAGCAGCATAAGGTGCGTGCACATGTGCTGAATAAACTATAACATGCAATACTGCACATCAGCACTGAACATTATTTCACTTCTGTATAGTGATTTAGTCAGTTCTGGTTTAGGAGAAAAGTACGGAAAGAACTTGTGTGTTACCGATGACCTTGCCAGGTTTGACCAGAATGGCAGTTGAGAAGAGTGATATCGCTGTGCAGTTTTGTCATGAAGGATGCACCAGGCCTGTATTTCATCTTGGGACATATGTCACTGGGGCTGAATCACACTTTAGTATCAGCTTGCTCTTTACACATGAATCCTCAATGTGTGACTGTGTCTGTGTACATCCTTCTACTCAGCTATGTCTTAATTCTCAGCCCAAAGTAGTTCATTTATTATTTAACAATCAGTACCTTACCATTAACATGTCCACAGGAAAATAGCTTGTCCAATTCATGATATTCTCACATAATCCAGTTGTGGTACAGATATATAATCCTCACCTAAGTACATACAGAAAATGTCAACAATATGAATCTTTTGTGCTCAGGTTTTTCTGTCAGCATGGTCTCTGGCTGTGTGATTTTCTTTTTCACGTTTTCGTTTCTGCTCATGCTTTTGATGCCTTTTTTTTGTCAGTCTTGACTCACATTGATTTTTGCCAAGCACTTTTTAAATCCATAACTCTGCAGGTTGCATGCAGAGACATAGAAGCAGCTGTGGTGTGGTGCTAGCAGGCGGCACATATAATACTGACGCAACAAACACTTAAGACAAGAAAGTCAGCGGGCATAGACCACAATCACAATAAAAAATGAAAAGACCTTCTGTTCCCCGCATGTCAATCTACACTCAACTTAACCGACTTTAAAATTCTCATTTGTTTCCTCCATGTCCACAAAAAGTGTAAATATATGAATATATGATGATGATACATGATATGTGTACTTTGAAAATGTACTTGCAGTTTTGTGATGAAACATATTAAAAACTGATCCCCTTACACTTTCCTGCTTACCAATCGATGTGTTTCTTTATGATTTTATTTTACCTTCTGTATTGACACACTTTCTCTTCTCACTCTAAGAGTGGGTCAGCTGGCAGGGGTCATTATGAGCAGAGACTTTTGCTTTACCAGGAGCCAAACGATGCCAATGTGCATGGAGGGGGAACCGTGAAGACCCAGTGAGCTTTGCACAATGCATAGTTTGATTTTCGGTATATGAATACCTTTTTTATATACCATAAGTATTTCTGATTCTTTATTTTGTGGTTCCAGGTAAGGCAGCACTGACCACCAGCACAAAAAAGGGAAGCTTTAAATGTTTAACTTTATGAAAATGTTGGTGACTCCATAGGGATTTGCCAAAAAACTGACAACAAAAAAATGGTGCACTGGGAGGTCAGGAAGTCTTTACCTGCAGTGGATATGTCTCTGTAAATATGCCATTAATAGTTGTCATTATAGCTGACAGTATCAACCACACAAATTTCACTTTTCACAGCTTGTTAATTATGTAAAGTATGACTGAAGCCACAGCTTTGCTATTTGAAAATTACGTTCTTTCAAATTGTGATTTTGATGGAAAAATGATTTATTGTTCAGCTTCTTTTATCTTCCTCCTATCATCCTTTGAATTCAAAAATGTGTCTCCACAAACAAGGAATAGACATGGAAATGCACTAATGCATGCTTACAGCCAGTTTACAACAAACATAAGCTTTGTTCTGTGCTCACAAAATAGATATGGTGGCTGCTTGGATTTCCATCATAGACAAGATTAAGCTTTATTTCCTCCACTGCTGGCACTCACTCAGCTGTGTTGAAGGGGCTGCAGGAGAAACTTGATGGAACAGATGGTTGTTGTTTTGGCCCTCACTGGATTAGTAAATACCTTCTTCAGTGTGCTGTACAACAGCTTTCTTTTGATGACATTTCCAGCATGCCTTGATTGCGCTGAGATTTTAATTCGAATAAGTGACATATTTCAGCCTGTGCCATTATGAAGGTCGAGTCATGTGCACTGAAATGTTATTCACGTTTAAAACAAGTTAAACAGGTTCACGTTTACAGAATATGGCAAAATGAAGGGTTTTTACACTTTGTTGTAGCACTGAGCTACCTTTTTTAGAGGGGTTTCTCAGCAGCATGTTTTGTAAGCATGCATTAGTGCATTTCCATGTCTATTCCTTGTTTGTGGAGACACATTTTTGAATTCAAAGGATGATAGGAGGAAGATAAAAGAAGCTGAACAATAAATCATTTTTCCATCAAAATCACAATTTGTGACACAAACAAAAAGCTTTATGTTCTTCACAAATCATCCAGATTTGGCTCAACATCTCCACTGCACATGCTTTGTACAGCACAGCTGAGTGGAGCGTTTTCATGCGACGTCACCGAATGCAGAAGTCACCACGGTTATTCCCTGCTGAGTGGCAAACACAATACAGTCAGCATCTGCCTTTGCGGACTCACAAACACTGCTAAAAAGGACTGTTGTGTACTGGACTGTACTTAGATTCAGAAAGAATTCAAGAAGAAGAATTTAAAGACAGCTGAAGGCTAAAGAGAAGATAAGCAACATGACATGACAAGTGGCTGAGTTACTTAACTAACCACGCACATATTTATATGAATGCAAAATTTAATCAAATGATAATATTTTTAAAATCTGCTCACAACCACATGCTTTGATGTCCCTGAGATTTTGATCAGGCTGACAAATCCAACACCGAGGCAGGCATCCATATGCCTGCAGGCTTTTTCAGTGTATTTTCCACAGCTACAGATATAGGCTACAGTATATATAGATGGATGACAAATTAAAGGAAAAAAACAACATAAAGTGTCTCAGTAAGGTGTTATGTGCCTCTGGAACTGCTTTATTGCTACTTGTCACGGATCAATGTCAAGCCACCTGTTGGCCACTCTGTGTTGTGGTGGGGGCTGTATGACATGTGAAAGTGACATTAATGCACCTCCTCCATTTACTCATTGAACACAGTGCCATATAAATGGGATCTGTAATTCAATTTTCACACCCTACCTGGAATTTAAGATTGAATATGGTCATATTGGTTCACATATTTAGTTTAACAGTGTCAGGAAAGTCAATCCAATCAGATCTGACAAAATTTGAAGGGTTTGACCATATATGTTTATGAAAAAGTCCCCAAAAGGAATAATTCATGTCAGTTTAAGTTCATAAGACAATGTTCTCAAGTGATTAAAAAATAAATAAAAAATCAAGGTTTCATGTATATTCACGCTTAACTAGTGCAGATCTACTGGGTAAACGCTACAGGTGGCTATAATACTGCAAAACAGCGTTTGTCGTATTTCCGAGGTGCATTTGAAGGCAGCACAAGTCGTCAAACTAAATCACCATACATAACTTTTCATGATGATGTATTTCAGGTTTCCTCTGGCTATTAGTCCATTTCACTGCGTCACCTACCGGCTGCGACTACACAAGGCCAACTCAGTGGATTTTAAGAGACGTTACATCTCATTCAAAAGTCTTCTCTGTTGGCTGAACCACCTCCTCCTCCTCCTCCTCCTCCTCGACCCCGCTCTGGCGGAAGCGCAGTGGTTCGCTCCCCCTAGCGGCAGAGCTCGCAGCCGTGGAGCGTCACAGCGCCCGTGTCCGTCCCCCAGTCACAGTGAAAGTTGTCTCCGCTTGGAAAAGCGGGGGTTCGGGACTTGCTTGTTTCCACCGGCCGCTGCTTCACACACGCTTTCTCCCGGAGAGATGAGGCGGAAAGAGAAGAGGCTGCTGCAGTTCGCCGGGCTGCTCATAGCGGCTCTTCTTTTCCTCCCCAACGTCGGGCTGTGGTCTTTGTACCGGGACCGAGTGTTCGACAACTCGCCCGACACAGTGGACGGACCGGGCGGCATCCCCCTGATACAGGTAAGGGCTCGGCCACGGGTGGTTCGGCGTAGCGGCGGGGGTTCTCCGCGGCTACCCGCTGTGTTATCGGTCGTCTCGCTGTGTAACAAGGGTGACGGTATCAGCCAGAAATACCTCAAATGTTGACGTTAGTTTTGGTCGCTGCAGTGAAGGCAGAGATTGGTGGTCGGCTGAAACGCTGCGTGCTTCCCAGTGCTTCTGTTCTCGCCTCAACCCACCCCCCCTCCCCTTCAAAACATGATCCTTTACATTCCCATACCGTGTGTGTGTGAGATGTGATTTACAAAATGGACCTTTCTTTAGCACCGTGTCAGCGTTGGTAGGTCACCAGGATAAAGCCACGTAGCTAACCCGAGCCTTGGGCGTCGCAGTAAAGTTACAATAACACAGACTTCAGGAAGTTGTCAAAAAATATGAAGCGGGCGGTGCTGCGTTCACAGGTTGACAGGCGTCAGCACACAGTTAAAAAGGTGCAACACAGGGTTCGTTTTTATGGTGAGGAATTCACGTGATCAGTCTTTAATTTAAGAGCAGGGTGTTTTGTTTTTTTTCTGGTCCCAGTGTTTTGTAGATCTGAAGTAATGTATGCAGTCATCTTTTTCTACATGGAAGTTTAAAGCGCCTATGTGTAATACTGGTATGTTGTTCTAAGCATGTAGTGCTGCAACTAGTGATTGTTTTCATTCTCAGTTTCTGTTCCTTGTAATTGGAGCTGTCAATCTTAAATTGGCAGAGCCCAACACTAATCCCAGAGACATTCAAATACAGTGATATGAAGCACAAACAAGAGCGAACCATCACATTTCACATACTGGAACTAGCAAAAGTTTTTCATCTTTTTATTGGTAAAACACTAAAATGATCTGACATTTATTTTGTTAATTCATTGTTGATTGGTAAATTGATGGTTTCTTTCAAATTATGTTGATGATACAAGTTATTCTATGTAGGAAATTTGTCGTATTTTTCAAAAAAGGACAACCCCCCCAAAAAAAAAAAAAAAAAAACTGGTCCATTTGACGCCAAAGTAAAACATGTTCAAATCTGAGGTTTTTCTGACAAATAAATAGAAGTACATTTGTTAAGCGACTCTTGCTGCTGTTTTGAAGACCTATTAGTAATCATTAAAGACTTTAATAGAACTATAATAAAAGACTAAATATACTGCCCCCCCATACAGTATACTGTATGGATTTCTCAACATTGTGTCGCAAGTTGTCATTTTGTTTAAAAACTTAAAACTTAACAATTTCTCTAAACAGGAGAGATACTGTTTCTGTACCAGCAGAATGGAAGGTCCCATTTTGGAATAACTTCATTAGATTATTTCTTTGGTTTGAACTGAGGCAATTAGGCAAATGTCTTAAAAAGAGGATGATTGACAGGCAGAGGCTGGAGCTGGGTGAAGAATTTCCAAAAACCTCACCAAACTGGGCCTTGGCAGACAATAGTAGCTCCTCTAATTCAAATGAGGCAAATCTGCTGAATGGAGTCTTTCACTGAAGGTATGCGTGTGTATGGGCATGTGTGTTGGTGTGAGTTTTGGATGGTGGTGGGGTTTGCCCCGATCGAGTAAACTTGCTTGACTGGACAGATTGTAGAATTGTAGTGAGAAGGACATACTGAAGGCAGAGTTGAGTTTTGATGTGTTAGCTAGAGCCTGTCTTATAAAATGCCTGTTATGTTTATCTCCTCAAGCAGAAAGGAACTGGAATAGTATATCAGATAGCTCTGTGCACAATAATTGTCACAATCAATTCATCTTTTATTCTATAGATGTTGACAAATCCCCATCAAAAGTCCACAGTGATGTTTTCTATGTTCTATTGTTATCGGCAGTTACAGCTAATTTGCAGGCGGGATTGTGGGTCTGATAAAACCAGCTTATTTTGCACAGATCTTCTCCAAGGATTACTTTTCTCAGCTCAAGTTTGGATTTGATATTTTAAATGAGAAGAGATGTTATGAATGGGATTATAGGCTGGGAAAAGCCTGTTACATATTTGCCATCAGTGTGATAACAACAGTCAACCTTCAAAACAATTTGATAAGAGACAGCTGATTTAAGAAAGGAGGCCGACTTTCTCCAGCGGAGGAGCCATTGAAGGGAGAGTTTAACCAAAAACAGGAAAATATAGTTCCGACAAACTGCGGTAAAAACCCCATCTGAGGCGTATATCCCAAATGTCCTGTATAGATATCCAAGAAATGCTCCTAAAACCTGAAAAATATTGGCATGTCCCACTTCTTGATTGGAAAATAGTGCTTTCGGAATAAGGCCGAATTGAGAATATCATAAAGGAATATGCAGTTTCCATGACCCATGTTCAATTCATAATAATGTCATCTTGGAATTATAGTGGAAAATTAGTGTGCATGTCAACATAGCCAGTGGAAGAGCTACTCTGACTCATTCCTGCGACGCAAACGTGCAATCTGATGATCGGCAACTGTCATTACAATCAGTCAAATAAAAATAAAAAATCAATATAGTTACTAGATGAAGGTGTAATTGCCTCACTCAGAGCTGTGGAAACAGACAACCCCCCATGATGTTTCAAAGGGGGTATATTATTGTTCGCACCACTGTCGCAAAGGCAACCAATCGCTTTCCATTTTCCTCAGAGCCTAGCTCTTTGGGGAAATGATCAACACAACTTTCAAAATAGTAATAGAGTAGAAAGAAGCATGCTAACTGAAGACGTAAACTGAACTTGTCACAATTTTATATTGAATTTGGGAACAGGCAAAAGCTATTGCAATGATGCGCATTGCATAGTAATAACATCTGAGTAATGTTATTGCTTCGCTTCAAACAAGTAACTACATCAGGGGTTGGTGTCGGGGGGGGGGGGGTGATGTTAACATTAGAGGACATTAGGAGAAGAAGCGAGAGTCTGTTCATTTATTTCATTTATAAAATTCATTTTAACATTTGAATTTTCCTATGAAATATCGTACCTGGTGGCAGACAGATATACACGTGGATGGTGTGATTTTTCTATAGCCATTGAACTGTGTTATCAACATTTATTTCACAATAAGTGAAAGCAAAAAAGATGTCTATTTCCAATTTAAATATATGGCATTTGCTGTGTGATAGAGGGCTTTTGCACTTTGCCCCTGAAGGCTAATGTTATATTTATTTACCTCGTGCAAGGAGGCCCTGGGGAACCCTACACATTATGTGTTACAAACATCATATGTACCTGCTTTCTGACAAGTGTTGTCTGCTACTTGTGTACTTTAGTGACTTGTCACTAGGGCTTTAGTTTTCACAACTTGCTGATTGAACAGAACACCCAGGTGGCCCGCTTCAGACGTAGATGCAGGCGTACAACTCTGACCTCAGCACAAGATTAGAGTGTCTTTCTCTGAGGGGTTAACCTTCTGTTCCGTGCTAACACAACTGTATCTAATACAGCAGCTACAAGTAGTGTAAGCTGTTATCATGTGCCCATGAATACGGTGCCTGCATGAGTAGTTCATACCGCTCTATCAAACGTGAGCTGCCTCAGCGCTCCCCCACCGTGACAGTGACAGAAGGGTAATTTGCACGTTTGCCGTCTCTTATTAAGGACGCCCGTTGAAGCAGAGGTGTCTCAGTTAAGTGGAGGTTAGAGAAGATGAGAGCAATGGGTAGAATTAAAAAGAGGCCTGACCCGCCGCCTGCTGTGCTGCCCAGCTAACCGGCTGAGTATCTGTCTGCATTGGCTGAGATGCGTGAATGTCCTGACAAATGCCTGGCAAAACTTGTGCAAATGCATTAACGCTAACTTCCCAAACCTTTTGAGTTTGTCCCGTCCACTTTTACTTCAACAGACGGGGGCCTTGTGGGGTCAGTTTTAGCTTCATATTGTCTCAAATATCGATGATGATTGGGGGGGCAGACAAGTATCATATGCAGTTCCTGTAGTGTTGCTGGTTTGACTATGTTAGTGGATTTTTCCTACGTGTGATTTTCCATTAAATGTGAGTTGACAAATGTCCAAATGTTGTATGACCAACAAATCTACCAAACCTAAGCTGAGCTGCCTCCAGTAACACTTTCTTTAGCTGCTTCACTCTAAGGCCATTGCGGATGGAACTGGCATGAAATTGACTGAGAAAATTAATCAATAATGAATCTTGCCTGTTGCAACATCTCACATGTGAGGCTGTGCTGCTGCTCTCTGACTGCCATTGCCCAGAAAATGAATCCAACCCAGCGTGAATTATTGGAGGTGGGCTAGGCCCAATAAAAAGAACTGTGCAGGAAATATAGATTCAACTACATATCTGTACGTCCTGCATATACAGTATATACGTATTCCCAGGTCAGGTTCCATTTTTGGTACGACATGCCAATGCATTTTCCTCCCGCTAACTGGATGATATCAGCTCTGATAAAAGTCCAGAAGATAAAGTGTGCTCTTGAAAGGAAAGTTGGCTGAGATTCACAGCCCTGTCACAGAAAACTGAGCATCATACAGGCTTCTGTACACTGGAGGCTACATTTATGAGCCACACACTGTAGGCTGGATTACTGTTCATTCATCACTGCAGGACCTTGTGCGTTTCGCCTCTGACACATGTACAGTACACCTCACACACACAGAGACACACACACTTATATACCCTGCTTTTAGAGCCAGTAGAAGGTCAGTCAGCGACAGTCTGGTCTTATTAATGAGCAGAGCTCAAAGTAAACAAGGACATCTATGTAGAACATCTCAGGACAAGGAGAAACCCCAGCTGAAAAATATGGTGCGAGCATCTTTCACTATCCCATTTCTGCCTCAGAAGTCACAGATTGTTGAACCACAGCATAGCCAGGCAAATTATTACTCTAGAACAAACTGGTTTTCTGAATAAATACCCCCCAGTTCTCCAGTCTTATTTTGAATTCCCTGGCTGTCTGCTTGTGATGTATTCCTACCCCACAGTCACAATGCAAATCAGATTTTTGTTTGACCCTTCTGTCCTCCGGGGCTCCCACAGGCCTTAAAAAACATTGAAAG